TTCACGGGTACTGAAAGATTCCAATGATCCAAGAAAAGCCCTCACGTCTTTGGTAAAGGATGAAAAAGGCAGAACCTACATTAAACTGATGTCCAGGAGATCATCCGGATTTACCATTTGATTTACCATTTGATTTACCATTTGACTGAAAAACGCCATGATACTGCCGCAAAGCGAACCACCTTGATATTAAAGTCAGTTTTCACCTTTTCGCAATAATCGCGCGCGTTTCGGAAACATTCCCATCTACAAATGATTGACAAGTCATTAATTAGCTGTAAACCCGTTGATTGGACAAGTGCACTCTCAAGAAAGGTATCGACCACACTTGAGCCGGTACACTTCGGGGCTTTGATCTTTTCTGGTTTCCTAGACCACTAAGTACAATCAGTCAAGTGAAACGGTTTGAAGCAGAACCCGTTCACAGACAAGTTCGTCTCAAGTGCTCTTGAAATGCCCAGTACGAACCCGCCTAATGTTCCTCTTTTAGTATAATCTGCGTTTGGCGGTGTCGATATTTTTTCAATGATCACAGTTATGTACACACAACACATACAATATTTAGGCGACAGTTACGATATAACTTTCTGCCCAACTTTAAGAGCGTGAAGTTTTTTCTGAGTTGGTTTTTCCCTTCCTGTTTAAGATACAAATTGTACAAATTTGGGCTAGATACAAATTTATATAACTAAACCATACAGCATAACTACAAGCAGTGTTTGGGACAAAGACAGCTTTTATTATGATTACGTTACTAATTCAACTAACTTTTCACAAAATACAACTATTTAAAATATATAAGCATAGAAAGAAAATTAATATTCAAGCATGCCATAAACAGAGAGGCTGTCTGATGCAGAAAACTAAAACAGACAAGACAGACCACCACAATGAACTACTAGGAGAAATGGGAATGAACGAAAATGGCTTCCAGGTGTGCAAATGAAGTGTGTCCTGCCTTTAAAAGTATACCAATCTAGGGGTGCAAATGAAGTGTATCCTGCCTTAAAAAGTAGAGCAATAGGCCCTTTGCAGCTAGAGGTCACGTGCTTGGATACTGCATAGCAACACAAAACTGGAGAGCAAGCGCTCCATTAAACAAACGGTAAAGCGTTCATGTTAGGTCCATATCATGTCCAAATAACTAATACAAATTAATACTAAAGTATTATTACTTTCATGTATGTTGTACAATATGTCCTATGTAACCATGTTCTATCAGTTACCCTTGTTGTCCCTCATTAACCCACATCAACCCTAATTTACCCAAGTTCTACTACGTTCACCCCCATATACCCTTGATTAACCATGTTCTGCCGCGCTAACCCTCACCTACCCTAGTTAACCCATGTTCTACCACGCTTACCCCCATCTACCATAGGTAACCCATGTTCTACCGCGTTTACCCCCTTCTACCCTAGGTAACCCATTTTCTACCGCGTTTACCCCTATCTACCCTTTTTTAGCCATGTTTTTACCACGTTCACCCTCATCTACCCCAGGTAACCCATGTTTTACCCCGTTTACCCTCATCTACCCTTGTTTAGCCATGTTCTACCACGTTCACCTTCATCTACCCTAGGTAACCCATGTTCTACAACGTTTACCCCATCTACTCTTTTTTAGCCATATTCTAGCAAGTTCACCCTCATCTACCCTAGGTAACCCATGTTCTACCCTGTTTACCCCCATCTACCCTTGTTTAGCCATGTTCTACCACGTTCACCCT